TTAATGTATGCTTTGTCTATGAGTAAAAGTAGCCGTTATCTGCAATAGATCATATGTTAATATATGAGTGGCCACTGAGATCAGCACCGAATTGCGACTGTCTGCTTGAATGCCATCTTCACTATAGTGTGTGGGTGAGAGAAGGCCATAGAAGGAAAAGAGAATGAGAAAAGAAGCCAAAAAGGGCAAAAGCAAAGGAAAAGGAAAATCGATAACGCAATCTGTTTCTGTGTACTCACACACACACACACACACACACACATATATATATATATATATATATATATGTATGTATGTATGTGTGCGTGTCTGTAAATAGATGTTTCTGTGAGTACTAATACAAGCAAATTTACATTATCGATTTTTCTTTGTTATTTTCTTTTTAGCTTTGCCCGTATCGATTTCTCGCACGTTTCCATGCCGCTGTTTTCTCTCTTCCTTTCCACCATATATATATATATATATATATATATATATATATATATATATATATATATATATATCACTTGTTCTCTCAGATTACATCTTTCTCTCTCTCCTTGGAAGTTCTTTCTGGTTCTCTCTCTCTCTCTTTCCTTCTCTCTCTCTCTCTCTCTCTCTTTCCCTCTCTCTCTTAGGGTCTGAAACTCTCTACTTCTCTCCTTTTCTACTTCCTACTTCTATACCAGACACTCTGTTTGTCTGGTCAGTCTTTTCTCTTAATTTTTCAACATTTTCCTTGCCTCTTTCTCTCATCCCAACTCTCTCTCTCTCTCTTCTCTCTCTCTCTCTCTCTCTCTCTCTCTCTCTCTCTCTCTCTCCGTCTATTGACCTCACTCTCCATCTTTGTATCTTTCTCTCCCTTTCTCTGTCTACTTTCCACTTTAACCCCCTACCTCATTCGTTCTATTTGAGTATACCTCTCTTTTCTCTCTATATTCTTCTCTCTATCACTAACTCTTTCCAGTACTTTAACTGGCCGCTTTTCTCACTACTCTCAGATGTTAGCACTCCACATCTGCCTCTCTTTTTGTCCTTCACTCTGCCTGTATACCGCTCATTACTTCTCGCTGAATCAATACATCTCTCTTTGACTGCTTACGTCACTCTCGTGTGTTCTGAGTGTTTCACTCTTTTTACTCCCTCTCTATTTTCTAAAAATATACTTTTGCTATTTATTCTCTGTGCTCACTCGCTCTCTTTCTTTCTCTCTCTCTCTCTCTCTCTCTTTCTCTCTCTCTCGTTCATGTTGTTTTCCCTATCTCTCTCTTTCTTTCGGGATCGCTTCCCTTTTAAACATATGCCTTTTAATTTATTTCTGACTCACTTGCTCTCCCCTTTTGACTGTCTTGGTGTCTTTTTCTCTCACTGTTTAGATCTTTCCTTCTCTTCTTCTTTCCTCAATAAATATCCACACAAACACATGCATACAGACATACAGATAGATAGATAGATAGATAGATAGATAGATAGATAGATAGATATGGACATGATAAAAAATATACATATACGCACATATACATACACATACTTATAAATATATTTTTCCTCGCGTGTTATAAATACAGTGTGCATTATAGATATATTTTAGAGTTATAAATATATTTTATAGTTCTGTTTAGGAATATCGTGTTTGAATTCGGCCTTCAGTAAGTTGGCATCTATTTGTAAAACTTTCCTTTACTATAACGAGAATTAATGGATAAAATGCTCATTTAAAATTTTTGTTTCAAAAATTTAAAGTAGTGAATATATCTAACTTACTGCGAAGCAACAGCGAGCGGGCAAAGCCTGCGAGTATGTCGATATACAATCATTTTGTATACTCTCTTGGTGGAAAAATAAGTTAGGGTAATGAGGTGTGTGATTGATTTTGGTAAGCTACGAGTATAGGTGAGACATTATTGTCGATATTATTTTTTGGAAAATTTCATTTAAATAAAGATATTCACCATCAAAGATGATATTCTGTTATGTTTACATAGAAACGGCGCTGACGCGGCATAGCAGAGGCAGGTCGTAAATTTGTGATGCAGTTCTATGACCGTTATCGTCGATGTACCCCGTGGCTGAGTCAGATCTAAGGACGGTTTATCCTGCCAAGGAGGAAGCAGGTTCGAATCCTTCCAGATGTTTTTTTTTAATAAGATTTCTCAAATTTCCAGACCAGTAGTCGAAGATAAATAAATATTCTGTGATAAAATCTGTCAGATTGATAATTAAAACAACCATTGCCTCTTTAGAAATTGCTCTCTCTCTCTCTCTCTCTCTCTCTCTCTCTCTCTCTTTATATATATATTATATATATATTAACTTTTAACAAGAAATAGATTGTTGCATGTATGTAATTATATAATGTTTTCAAAACGAGGTCAAGATATTGGAGTGTTTTATATAATTTATCTACCGAAAAGAAAAAAATCACATGAGAAATTGTATGAAAAACTAAATCAAAGCACCTTATCATATTCAATGTAACACACACACACTCATACATATATATATATATATATATATATATATATATATATATATATATATATATATATATATATATATATATATGTATTTACTATAGAAATCGTTTTCATTAGAATAGTTCTTTTTTAATTAATAGGCAAAAACTTACAATATCTTGTCTACCTTGTTATATAACTCACGTCTAAGATGAACCAAATTGGTTCATGCACTTAACAAGGGCAACAGTCCAAATTAAATGTAATAGATTAGATAAGATTTTCACTAACAAAAGAATTTGTCATAAACTTCTCAAATTTTTTAACTGTAAGGTTCACCTTGTACAAGGCCGGGGGTGGTTGGCACACGATATAGGGGGCTACGTTAAGGGGTAGTTTATATGAATAGGAGGGGAAGATAACGATTAACTCTTTAATGATCGGAGAAATTTCCTCTTGGGAATCTGTTCTACAGATTAGTGGTTCGCGGGAAGAAGCTGTTTGAGTGGAACTTCTCGCCGATGGAATACGGATGGAATGCGGGTGGTTTGCTATAATATAAGTGACATGCTCGGTTAGACCTGGAGGAACCAAGGAAAGCAGTTCATCCGAGCACTTTCTATAGAAGTAGCCATTGATTTGATAGCAGGAGATCTTGTGTAACAAGCCTCATTCTAACTGTGAAAGAGAGTTTGAAATGCGGAAAAGAGTTCTTCTTCAACAAGGATTCTATCAAGTCTAGAAACTGAGGTCTGGGCATCTCCTGTTCAAATATGGTAACAGCATTATTGGCCTGATCTGGGTCTTATAAAAGTAGAGGATACCATGAGAAGTCAGGTACTTACTGGGGCGTTACAAGGAGTCGATCATTTTAACTGCATCTTCAACGCTGGGTGGTATATAAGAGTTTCATTTGAAGTCGGGTGTGAATTTAAGGCCCAAGAGTCTCTCAAGGCTAGTGCCTCCCCGAGGGACATTCGTTCATTTTGACTGGCGGCAGTTCGAGGTCTGATCGGCGGTGATGGAATGTAACCAGTTTGATTTTAGAAGCATTGAATGTCACCAGCCATTTTTCCCCACTGGGAAATTAGTGCTAGATCAAAAAGATGTCAACTGCCAATCTCTAATCGTCAATAATTTTAGAGGTGCGCCTATATATCGTCGTATCATTGGAATAGACGTTTACATGGGCATAGACGTTTTGTAAATCAGAAAGTGGGTTGGTCCGAGAAGCGAGCCCTGTGGGGATATACCTGCCAGGAAGGCTTTTATAATAGAGAATACCCTTTTACTTGATTTGATAGCAGGAGATCTTGTGTAACAATCATTTGTGCCACACCTTGTCTTAGGCCTTCGAGATATGTAATCCTATGGTCTTTGCGTTATGCGGTATCACTAATTCTGTGTGTAATGATAGTTAGAACGTCAACAGTGGATCGGGCGGATCGAAAACCATATTGCTCATTGATCAAGAGGATGTACATGACGTCCTTCTTGTTGTTTAAAGCCTCAAAAACTTTACTGGTGATACTGGGGAGACTATATTGAGAGTGGGGAGGATCTGACATTGCTTGCCACTTTCCACATGCTTAGGAAGTATTTCTCCCTCAAGCAGCGGTTAAATAACTTTGCTAGAATCGGGGATAATTTTGTGTTGATATTCTTAAGGACGACTCCTGGCATTTAGTCTGGGCCAGTGGCTTTTTGGGGGCCGAGGCTTTTGATAAGTCTAGAGACTTTTCTTGTTGAAATTAGCATATTACTGAGATTGTGCTAGATGAGACGTGGGTAGTTGGGGATGGGATGGCGTTTGTCCTCTAATGTTGAGTTTGAGGCAAAGATTGAGACGAAGAGCTACGCCTTGTCTGTCCGGTAGGATATGACCCCGGGGCCATTTATAATAGTGGACACAGCTGCTTTGCATGTGTTCCTAATTTGGTTGGTGATTATACAGAATTCGGGCGACCAAATTTGTTTATTTTTCAAACTTGGCCTGGACAGATCGAGCATAGCTACACTTTGCGCGTTCCATGACTCTCTTAGACCGATTGCAGGCGATTAATTTTGAAGTAAGGTCAGACTACACCGCTCTTTGCGATAGACTTCAAAGCAGTGGTTCCAGTGAGCTATGACTGCAGCGCATTTCCGGTTGAACCAGGGCTAACTGCTGGATTTTTTTTTGTGGGGTTTAAATCACACCATTCCAGAAAGGATCAATTCGGAGATTAGGGCAGCTGTTTTGGAGACAGCGTGTTTAAAGGTTAGGAAAGGAACTTCCGTCATATAGGACAGAATGCTCTCCCAGTCTACCTCCGCATAGCGAAAAACCGTTCTTTGGAACGGTAAATCAGTGGATATCATAAGTTCGGAGTCAACCTGGGCACTGACTAGGGAATGATCTGATATGCTAAGGCCGGAGTGGGGGGGACTAAAACTTCTGCTGAGCATTTGTTATGACAGGATGTTAGAAAAAGTTCGAGGAGGTTCGGCTGTTCTCCCGTCACATCCGGGACTCGGATGGGATCTTCAATGATCTAAGTTAGTTCATATGCGATGGAGAATTTTCTTCAATATCTGCCTTCCTCATGGGTTTTGTTAGAGTGAGCTAACCACTCTTTGTGGCGAACACTGAAATCACTGCATATTTGATAGATGACCGAGGGAAATTCGTTGACGATATTGTTAATCCTGTCTGATCGAAGATTAGCGACCCTTCATCTTGAACGATACAGTGCAAAGACGAATGTGGTACTATGGATAAATGCCACGCAGAAGCACATATATGTTAGATCAGGAGCCTCATTTTTCCCCTGCCACAGGGAAACCCGTCCTTGATGTTAGCACCAAGCCCGTGACCGCGGCGATTTTGGTGGTCGTATTTTGTTATCATGGATGAGTAGCTCGGCAGTATCAGCTCCTGCAATGGGATTGAGACATTGATACCTCTTTCAAACAGGAACAGGAGGTCAAGATTAGACTGAAGAAGATGGATTTCTTCTGTAAAGTTGGGACGGAGATCCTTTACATTCGTGTAAGAGATGGTATAACTGGAGTCTGCTTAATGTTTTTTTTAAGTTGGGTTTGTTAGATTAGTGATTTTTTTTTCAGTTTAACTGCTTTCATGTTTTGGTGAATGACTAGTAGACAGTGAAACAGGCACCCATTGGAGATGCGTGCATAAATAACCTGGTTTGACTCTCCCAGAGATACTGCCGTAACAGTATCATCATCATGGTATAGAGAGGACCTATGGCGACTACTGCACGTGTCCAGAAAACATTCCCAAAATGGCAGAGCAATAGCCCAGATATTATACACCTGCTGATAGGATAGCCTCCTTCGAATTTACTCGAAGGTTTGGATCCCGGACTATCAGGCGGATGACGTCAAAACTCAGAAAACGTTTACCTCCAGCGCCCTAAATGAGGAGGTAAATAACCCAGGAAATATTCAGGCGCGTATACTCCGCAAGCTCGCTCATATACATGAGGACTAAAAGACCTTTTAGGATAATGTGGTGACGAAGTTTGCTCGTGGGTTGGTGTGCATCGCCTACCCCTGTTTAGTTTCGTATCAGAAGCATAATGGTTAGATTAAGCGCATACGGAGGCAAATTGCTTATTCTCTTTTTGAGAGAGAAAAATGCAAAAATAATGTATTTATAATAAAGACGACTCATTCCAAATAAAATTTAATGAACTTAATAAGATCAACAGATGGAATAAATTCTTTTTTTATTACAATGCTTTAATTTGTAAATTAGATTTATGAAATTTTGTTTTTCACATCCAACTTTTGCGTTTAATTAAGTAGGTTTAAACAAGTGTTTCGCTTTTCCAGTACTTTCATTGTTAAATTTCCAAACGTGTGTATACACATGCACACACTTATATATATATATATATATATATATATATATATATATATATATATAGGTGTAACAGCATAATTTTCCGTCTCCCTAAATGTTTAATATCTAAAAAAATCACTAAACTAACTGAATTTTTTCCCAAGTTTTCAGATAAGATGTTAGTCCATCTTGACATCATTTGTCGTAAGAATCACTGAAAAACTCTTGGTGCTATTCAGCTAAAAAGTGAACAGTTTAAAATCGTTTTGTTTCAGACCAACTCTCTTCCCAACTGATCAATGGTGAGAGGAAAAAGATCGTTCAGGCCTTCAATAATGCTACCAACATTCATACTCTGGCTTCCATCTTCAAATCCATTCAAGAGAACGCTGAATAAGTTTAAAAAATGGGAGCAGTAAAGGGGAAAACTGGATCAGGAGGTCACAACAAGAAGAGGGATCATCATTTCAACTTAGAGCTAAAGAGATCCATTAGAATAGATTCAAATCAATCCATAAGACGTTTGGCACGTGAGAGAGGTGTTTCAGCTATCACAGTCCAAAGATCAGTGAACAAAGACTTGAAAATGAAATCATACGTGAAACCTGTGAGGTAACTTGTTATTCCAGGACATAAAGCTAGAAGGTTAGAGGGGCGAAGATCATCTTGAATCAGTTGGAAAATGATCCTGGAATAATATATATATATATATATATATATATATATATATATATATATATATATGAACTTTATTTCAATCCTTCATGAGCTTCCGATCCTTAGCTATGATTAATTAATGATGAACATGTCATTTTCGTTTATGATCGATTTCATCACGATTCTTCTGTTAAGTTTGGAGAGTAATTATACATTCTTATTCCTCGAAGTAGAGTCCAATAGTTCTATAAAAATTTCAAAGAATTCAAGTAAAATATCGTTAATCAATTCTAAGATACAACGGTTCAGAACTTAATCTAGCAATTGAACAATTTTGCTGTTACACGATTTGGACAATTTTACTGTCACAGCTGGGACGTATATATATATATATATATATATATATATATATATATATATATATATGCTTGCGATTAGATTTTGATTAAGGGCTTCATATTTGAGTAGGTAGTATGTACGTTTTCAGTCCATCTTGGGAATTAAAATCTGTTTGCACAGATGGCGACGTTTCAGTAAGAAATCTTTTGGTAAAATTTTATATCACGCTTTCGTCCACAAACTTTCCCATTCTTTTCAGTACGCATTGCAAGTCGAAATTTCATATAAAGTATATTGTATTACTTTTCTCTTTGTGTGAGTTATAATTGTAGTATATATGTATACACTGACACCCACCAGTACTCATGTGAAATAAATGATCTCTCTTATGGTGACAAGGTCTCATCGTTACCATATCACGATTATTTCTACTTCGACATTCTAGAGTTCCATAACAAACATGAATTCTTATGCAGTAGCAACAAAAATTGTTCCATATACCTTTGTGCATGTACCGCTTGTATCCATCTATCACAATAAAATAAAAAAAAAATTGGTGCTATAGCTGAATTGGTTAAATAAAACTTCTACAAAGAGTCATTACTATATTAAAGTCTCTCCGTTAATGTAAATTTAAATGAAGACAGAAAAAGGGGGTTTTTTTCAGAAATTTATAAGTGAATGTATAACTGAAGGGCTTGTACATCGTTAATCTTTTCTCCGTCTTTCATCGCCCGCTTTGTCTTTATTTACTAGGATGTTTCAGTCCTTATCTGATACGTCTCACCTAAATAGAGACAGATTTAATTAGAAGTTTATCAAATGAATTAGTTTAGACTTATACGCTGTCATGTTTATAAATCTTATTCTACATCTGGTGAGCAGAATCGTTTTGTGTAGTTTGTGCGTGTAAATTAGATCTGAAGATTATGTTAAATTTTCTTTCAGCTTTTGAGTAAGCTTTTTCGAACATTTTTAAAGCTAATTAATATGAAAAATTAATATTTTCAAAATCATATTTTGAGGTGGCGTCATTGAGTTTTTCCCATTCTTCATGAAGATTGATATAATTGTAATTTTTAATATTTAGATATTGTTTCTATCTTTGATTGTTTTTCGTTTATCGTTCATTTTATTCGATGCTGGATTTAAATTTTATTTCCGACAATAATTTTGGTTTCTTTTAGTTGCTTACAGTTTTTATATTCCTTAAAATATTTCTTGTTAATTTTTCTTTGATTGAAGAAGATATTTCTCTTGATTATCTTTTTTCACTTCACATCTATCCTTGGAGAATTTAGCTGCCGATATTTTTTAAGATCTCACTTCCAGTTCGTCGTTTTTCACAATCCCTAATGCAAATGATTGCTCACCGAATTTTCGCCCCCATGCACATTTGTCCGCCATTTTTATCTTACGCTTTTCTTTTACTATCGTTTTAACTATCCGTTATCTCCATCCTCCCCCCTCTACAATCTGACACCCTCATATCCCCTCTATTCTCTTCTATTAGCCTAACATTCACGTCCTAGCCAACTTCTACTTCTTCATACATTCAAGTTTGTTTTCTCCTGACATTTTCCCTCTAACGTTTAGCGGTTTTTCATCATTTTATTTTTTTCATATTTCTCCTTTCTTAATAGTCACTCTCATATCTCGTGATGAATCACTTTCTTTTTACTCCCTTCCCATCTCTTTATTTGTTATATTTTCACTTTTCCTACTAATCTCTCACCTATCTTATGGAACATACCTTAAACAATTTATTCCCCCACCCCGCTTTCGAGCTCTTTATTTATTTCACTTTTCGCTCTTCCTCATAATCTAGCGCCTATCTCATAATAACTGCATGTGTATCATAATTTTCAAAACAATTCAACCTCTTTCCCTTTTCAATTTTCGTTGTTTCAGAGGAAACTATCTCCTCGCTACAGATAACTCCCTTTCTCTCTTTATTACCCTCTCCCCATCTCTATATTGGTACTCTTTTCGCTTTTCCAACAGATGCATCTCCTGTCTCATGATAACATCCTTTCTCTCTTTATTACCCTCTCCCCATCTCTATATTGGTACTCTTTTCGCTTTTCTAACAGATGCATCTCCTCTCTCATGATGACTTCCTATCTCTCTTTATTACCCTCTCCCCATCTCTATATTGATACTTTTTTCGCTTTTCCAACAGATACATCTCCTCTCTCATGCTTAGTTTCTTTCTCTCTTTCTTACCCGCTCCCCCTCTCTATATTGGTTCACTTTTTGCTTTTCCAACTGATCCATCTCCTCTGTTTTCATAATACACTTTCTCTCTTTATTTTTGCCGTCTTCCCATCTCTTTATTTGTTTAATTTTCTCTTCCTAATATTCTCTCTCCTCTCTCGTAGTAACTATCTTTCTTTATTTATTTTTACCGCCTTCCCATCTGTTTATTTCTGTACTTTTCTCTTTCCCTAATATTATTTCACCCCTTTCATTTTAACAATTTTTCATTCTTTTTTTTTACTCCTTCCTATCATTTTTTTACATTTTTCTTTACATTATATTCTCTCTCCACTCTCATGATAATCCTATTTCTTTCTTTATTTTTCCCCTTTCCCATCTTTTTCTTCGTATACTTTTCTCTTTTCGGAATATTTTCTCCTTAATGTCGTGATGACCCTCTTTCTTCCTTTCTTTCTTTCTTTCTTTCTTTCTTTCTTTCTTTCTTCTTTCATTTGCCTCCTTTCCATCTCTTTATTTGTTTACTTTTCTCTTTTCTATCTCTTCTCTCGTGGTAACCCTCTCTTTCTTTAATTTGCCTTCAGCCCATCTCATTATTTGTATATTTTCTCTGTTCCTAATATTGTCACTCCTCTCTTTTGATAACGCTTTTTCTTTCTTTCATTCTTTATGTATTTCTTTATTTATATTTCGTTTTTCCCATCTCTTCAATTGTTTATTTTCTCTTTTCCTAATATTCTCTCTCCTCTCACATAATAACACTCTTTCTTTCTTTATTTTTGCCCCCTTCTCAGATCTTCATTTGCTTACTCTTCTCTTTTCCTAATATTCTCTTTGCTCTATTTATTCTTCTATTTGCTCTGTTTATTTATTTTTGTCGCCTCCCCATCCCTTTATTTGTTTACGTTTCTCTTCCTAATATTCTCCTTTCTCTCCCATGATAACACTTTATTTCTTTATTTTTGCCGCCTTCCCATCTCTTTATTTGTTTAATTTTCTCTTCCTAATATTCTCTCTCCTCTCTAAAGATAACTCTCTTTCTTTCTTTGTTTTTGCCGCCTTCCCATCTCTTTATTTGTTTACGTTTCTCTTCCAAATATTCTCTCACCCTCTCTCATGATAACTCTCTTTCTTTCTTTATTTTTGCTGCCTTCCCATCTCTTTATTTGTTTAATTTTCTCTTTCTAATATTCTCTTTCCTCTCTCATGGTAGCTCTCTTTCTTTCTATATTTTTGCCGCCTTCCCATCTCTTTATATGTTTGCTTTTCTCCTCATAATATTCTTTTTCCTCTCTCATGATAACACTCTTTCTTTCTTTATTTTTGCCACCTCCCCATCTCTTTATTTGTTTACTTTTCTCTTCCTCATATTCTCTCTCCTCTCTCATGATAACACCCTTTCTTTCTTTATTTTTGCCACCTTCCCATTTCTTTATTTGTTTACGTTTCTCTTCCTAATAAACTCTTTCCTCTCTCATGATAACACTCTTTCATTATTTATTTTTGTCGCCTTCCCATCTCTTTATTTGTTTAATTTTGTCTTTCCAATATTCTCTTTCCTCTATCATGATAACTCTTTGTTTATTTATTTTTGCCGCCTTCCCATCTCTTTATTTGTTTATTTTTCTTTTCCTAATATTCTCTTTCCTCTATCATGATAACTCTTTGTTTATTTATTTTTGCCGCTTTCCCATCTCTTTATTTGTTTTCGTTTCTCTCCCTAATATTCTCTTTCCTTTCTCATAATAACACTCTTTCTTTCTTTATTTTTGCCACCTTCCCCTCTCTTTATTTGTTTACTTTTATCTTCCTAATATTCTCTTTCCTCTCTCATGATAACTCTTTGTGTATTTATTTTTACCCCCTTCCCATCGCTTTATTTCTTTACTTTTCTCTTCCTAATATTCTCTTTCCTCTCTCATCATAATTCTCTTTCTTTCTTTATTTTTGCCACCTTCCCATCTCTTTATTTGTTTACTTTTCTCTTCCTAATATTCTCTTTCCTCTCTCATGATAACTCTCCTTCTTTATTTATTCTTGCCTCCTTCCCATCTCATTATTTGTTCACTTTTTCTTTTCTTGGTAATCTCTCTCGTATGTTTTTTTTCTTTTTACCCATCCCCATCCTATTTCTTTATTTGTTCACTTTTGTCTTTTCCTACCAAACCTTCTCATATCGCCTAACCTTCTTTTGCTCTTTTTTTTACCCCTTCCCATCTCTTTATTTGTTCAATTTTCTCTTTTCCTTAATAATCCCTCCCCTAATACTGAATATTACACTTTCTTTTTTTTGTTCTATTCTTCTCTCTTCCCTTTTCTCTCTCTATCCAGTTTGTCTTCCTTCCCAGTAACTTTTTATACAATCTCTTTTCGTTGCCTTCCTTTTTTACTCTATCTCTTTTTCTCGATTTTCCTTTCATTCCTTTTTACTCTTTCTTTTTCTTTCTTTTTCTACTTTGGTTCCGTTATCTCTCTCGCCTTCTCCTATCAGTTTAATCTGCATCTCTATCTTTCCTCTCGTCAAACCTCTCTGCTTTTCCTCCGTCTTTATCTTGTTTGTCTACTTCGTCGTCTCTTATTTTTTTCTATCATTCTTTCATGATTCCTCGTCTCTTTCTTTCTCTTTGTTTTTTTTTTCTTTTTCACTGCTTCGCCTTTTCTTGTCTCTCTTTTCCTTTTCTGTTCTTCTTTATTTTCAATCTATCTCTCTTTATTTTTCCATTCAATCTGTCCACCCTGTATTTCTCACAGTTCCTCTCTTTCTGATTTTTCTGTCTCCTGAGCAATATCCTCTCTCTCTCTCTCTCTCTCTCTCTCTCTCTCTCTCTCTCTCTCTTTTTTCTCTCATTTTCTTTTCAATGTTTATCATTCTGTTTTTGTTTGCTTTCTTCTTTTGTGATTTTTATCTTCTCTCTATCTATCTATATATCTATCTATCTATCTATCTCTCCCTCTCTCTTTCTTCATCTTCTTATTTTCCCCTCTTTTTTAAGGATTTTTAGCCTTTTTTTCTTTGATGTTCTCTTCTTCTTTATTTACTTTTCTCTCTTTGCAATGTTTCTTTTCTTTTTTCTTTTTCATTTTCTTTCTGTTCTAATTACTGACTTCACGAAATTCATTACAGTCACACCCTACAAACACTGACCACTAATGAACCTCTCTTGAATAGATGTAACAAGCAGCGAATGTTGGACGGTCTCCTCAAAGATTAAGAACAGACTCGAGGCAACGCAAGTATAGTTCTACAGAAAGATGCTAAGGATATCATGGACCGAGTGCTTGAGCAACGATAAGGTTTTTGGAGAGGATGCAAACAAGTCTTATACTTAACATCAGGAATAGGCAGCTGGAATTTCTGGGACACGTAATGAGAAAGGAAAAGCGACGCATGACATACCTAGCGGGCTTAAGTAAGTGAATGACAGAACAGGATCCTGGAGAAGTAGCAGAGACAGAACTTATTGAGATCTGCAAGGGATAGGGAAATAATGGAGAGCCACGTCCCGAATGAACAAGGCACATAAAAGAAGAAAAATAGGAGAATCTATTCTTCTACTATGTGCTATGTCCATTCAGGACATAGGCGTTCAGAGCTCTCCATAATGCTCTATCCAGCGTAGCTCTTACCAATGTTCGCATTTTTACTAACCCCAACAGTACCTTTTTCTTATGTGTATTAACACAAGCTCGGTAATAAAGATATACACTGCTTTCATCTATCTCTCTTGCTTTCAATATATCCGCTGAGTTCCAAATTTCCAAGGATCACGTCTTTCATTAAACCATGGAAATTCCAATGTTATCTTTCGGATTTTAATTATATGTGTCCTTTCCTTTTTCATTTTCCTTAAAACTTCACCATTGCTAACATGCTCTATTCATGTTATTCTCAATATCCTCCTGTAGAACTACATCCCTGTTGCCTCAAGTATCTTCATTTGTAAATGAAAAAAAAAATTGTATCAAGATCTCTTTCTGTACTTATATATGTAATTCAATATTTTTCGATACTTTCATGTTCAGGAAGGTCTAATGCTAAGATAATATATGTTGTCCCCATCCTTGATTTATTTTATTTTTATTTTTTTTCATCACGACGTTTTGGCCGTTGTGACTTGATTAGGTCTATGTCGATTCAGGATATTTCAAATCTGAAACCTTTATTTAATTCTACACGGATAGATTGCTCTCCTTCTTGTTTTAATACTCGTCCCTTTTACACTTAGTCCAGGGATTGAACTCACAATCACTTTCACCAAATTCATCAACCAACCCCTTAATCCTCTAGGCTATTGCGTTGTGAAACAATTATCAATAGAGACATTGGAGCCTTAAACCTAACCTGCCTGATATTGCGGGCTGCTGCACTGATTGTCATCCTTGACTGCACTCACTGAAACTGTCTCTTTTCTTACTGCTGCTTCTGCTGAAGGATTGCTGCCATCTGTCTTTCTTACTTTATTAGCAACTCTGACATTGTATTTATTTTGATGCTAGTCCTACTCAGAAGCTCCTCATAGGCACAGCATGTGCACTGATTCTTTCAGACATCTAAATTTTAAATATATCTCTATATCTAGACATCCCTACACATGCGAAATGGAACGAGAACAATCTACCTACCCCCACCCACGAAATGAAATAAAGGGTTTAGTTTGAAATTCCCTGTAGATTACTTAGATCGGCAAATACCTGATGAAGGCCGGAGTGCGTTGCATGGAAACGTTGTGATAACAACAAAGATGAGGATAATAGCTCATAACTCATAATCCCAGAAATTCAGACAGAAATTACGAAACTGTTCACCTAAAGATTATTCCTACTTTTCTTTAAGTTTGGATTCGATCATTTAAATTGTTTTCGGCCAGAGACCTCCTCTTCTTTTTGTTTTTCTTTCTTCCCTGGTAACTTCCATTTAATATATCTTTTTGAATCTTAAGATTAGCACTGATTTTGGTAATTAAAATGGAGTAGTTAAATCAATGTCAGTTAGCGAACGTTTCATTTTTGACATGAGAACGGTATATCGCACTAGCAAGTAGGGAAGAGATCAGGATGTTAATAAATTGGGTTTTCTGTTGTGTCTTTTTTTGGTTTTAAAGTTAATGATCTAAATAAATGGAATTATTTATGACATACGATGTGAGCGTTAACTGTAACGATAATGACCATACACACACACACACACACACACACACACACACATATATATATATATATATATATATATATATATATATATATATATATATATGTGAAGAAAAATATTTACAGAAAAAAAAAAACAAAACTCCTATATACAATTATGTTGTTTTAATGTAATATGTCAACGTCGGACGTTTCGGTCTAATAAACCATCTTCAGGACATATTCATAAATATAACATTATTAGACCGAAACGTCCGACGTTGACATATTAACATTAAAACAACATAATTGTATATAAGAATTTTTGTTTGTTTTTCCGTATATATTTTTTCTTCATACTTCATTATATCCATATCGGATATTATATATATATATATATATATATATATATATATATATATATATATATATATATATATATATATATATACACACACACACACACACACACATATATATATATATATATATATATATATATATATATATATATATATATATACTTGTGTGTGTATTAAATTACGACTCCCATCGGTTTCGATGCATGAGATCCCGTCAGTTGAGTTTAAAATTGAATCTCCTGACCATCCACACATATTTTTTTTAATCATTTCACTCAAGGTAACGTGACAATGCTACTAAGACGCAAGGGTGGGGAGCGGCATTGAGAGTGAAATAAAAGGAGAAGACTATAGGGAGGAGAGAGAACAATCAAAGAACATGATTGAAAAAGAAGATGGCGATTGCCATCGCATTTTTTTTTTTTTTTTGAAAATCATAGACGGCAGGAATAGAAGAAATCGGAAGAAAGTTCCACAGGCCAGAATTGAGAGAAAAGAAGCTATTAAAATAGAAATTACGGTTACATCTATCTATTTTAACAGTAAAACGATGAGACCTAATTGCCAGCCAAGTAGTACCCTTAACTTCATGCGATCGGCGACCCAGTCACACTTATGAGGACAGAAAATAACTGAAAAGATGTACAATGCTCCACGAAGTATTCAAAAAGACTTCGTAAGTTTAAATTCAGAATTTACTTTCTCCTAGATTGGATTCTCGAGAGAGAAAACAAGCGAAGATTTTTTTTTTCTGATATTTCATCTATAAGTGATGTAAGATACATTCATGCCTTTCCCAAAAGAATTAGCGCGAAGTTATCGAAACAGAATATATTAGAATTTGAGATCGGCTCGACGATTTCACTTTCTGGGCTGCTAAAAGAAATTACTTGCTACGGAAAGGAAGAGCAGCAATATCTAGATATCTATACTTCAGAAACAAGTTTATGAAAGTCAGTGAGAGTAAAAAGTAGAGGGTCATACTTCTAATATTAAAAGCTGTCAATTTTAAACTTTACACGTAAATTGTGTTTTTAAAATATCCATAAAGAACTCATCTAGAATTACACACACACACACAACACACACATACACATATATATATATATATATATATATATATATATATATATATATATATATATTTAGTGTACGTGTGCCGTCGAAATGACAACAATTAATAGAAAGTTTTAATAGTGAGATGCAACTAAACAGTGTGTTGGGATTCAATAAAGCGGAGATAATTCACAACTAAAATAGGGGCCAATATCTCTCAGAAGACAAAAAATAGCAACAGAACAAGGACGGCGACGTCAAAGCTTATTTACAGATCAAATTGAAGCAAGAAAGTCACTTAATAGATAATGATATCTGAGTGCCTCGCATGAAAGTCTTGAACAGATAGGACTGCAATCTAAGAAAAGTATGAGTAAAGGAACTATTAACCGTTTCATTTTCTAGGGAGCTTATTTTGTCTAAATACAGATAAATATTTATATTTGTATAGTTTCTTAAAACAACTAAGGGAAGTAATCACTCACATATTTACTAACAGATTGGGCAGGAAATATATAAGTAAAGACAATGGAAATATATGATTAAATATAATTGATAATTAGTATATTATTTGATATATATATATATATATATATATATATATATATGTTTAGCAGTACCGAACTTGAGTATTGCTTTAAAATCATTAAATTTAATATTACTAGGCATAATGAAAAATAACAGAGGAAAAACAACCGGTTTTGCCCCCACACTTCCAGTTTTTTTAATCGGGAGTGTTCAGAGTAAAGATATAATAAATTTAAAATTGTGAATGATTAATTGAGGAAAACAATAAAACGACGGGGTAAATACTAGAAACTAATCTTAACAAGAATTTTTTTTTATCTCATTCACACTCAATTTCTCTTCTAAAGATACTGGAGTTTATTTATATCAGGTCTCGCACACCTTCTCTAAGTAAACAGCATGATTGCTTGCTTGGTCTTGCTATGATTAGTCTAGTATTCCTGATTTTACTTGGTATGTGCTGTTTAATTCTTGCATCCTCAATTTGTGAACACCTTATTAAAACAGAAAGCGTGCTTTTGAATTCAACAGCAAACCTTCTCTGTGCAAACAGCGAGATTGTTTATATATATATATATATATATATATATATATATATATATATATATAAATATATATAAAAAAACAAAATTCTGAATATGCATTATAATGTTAAAATAAAGTCGACGTCGGAATTTATATCTTCATGGACATTTTCATTTAAACATAATTAACATTATAACTTATAACAATTTAACACAAAAGACGATGGACATAAGAGCCCAACTAAAAATAACTGAAAATACAGATCAGCGTTCTGTTTAAAATGATCACGTAGTCGTCAATTTGGGCGATGTTGTTAAACGTATTCGAAGATGATTTCAAAAATTAAAAAAATATCAAAATACTGTCTACTGAAAATATACAAACCTGAATTTACTTTATAACGT